TGATTGCATTTTAGTAGATTGTTGGTAGTAGATTGGATCAAAAGTGAGCAAAATTTGCGAGTCAAACAAAGTCACTTTTAAGTCATGGAGACCATCCGTCCTTGGTTCCTTAGCTCATTTTGAAAAGAAAAATTCATATGAACATAATGCCCTAAACCTCAACTTTCGAACTATACGCTGTTGAAATTTTAAGAAAAAAATCGTTTTCTTATCATTACCGTTCTAGATATTTTCATGAAATTTGACATGCACCTACTAAGCCCCAATAACCATTTTTCGATGCAGAACATTTTTCAATATCTCTACCAGTGGTGTACCTAAGGGATGTATCCTGGAGATTTTTTGATAAAAATATTGTACGCCCTTGATTTTTCCGAGAATAAAAATCATTTTTGAAATCCTCATATTCATAAACATGACAGTTTCTTACATTGTGGAAGTTTCTTTAATCAATAAAGTGAAAATGAAATGTTAACACCCTATAGCTTGAAAGTTAAGTGGTTAGGGAATATGTTCATATGCACTTTTCTTCTCAGTTCAGTTATTTATAGAACTGAGAAGTGTCAAGACGAATACGAATTTGCTATACAAATATCCATTTTCTATGTTGGAAATGGGAGTAGATTCGTTCCCGAAACGTCCAAAGATGTGAAAGTGAAAATTTTATATTTTTTCTATACAGTGTGTCCCACTTACCATGCTCACCATGGGTATCTTTTTAACGGTGAGAGATACGAGGTCGGTTAAATGACACCAAATGTGGAGTCTGTCAAGGCCAACTATAATATGAAAAAATATTTTGATAAAATCTATTCTTTTTTGTTTTATACGCAAAAAACAGATCTTGATTATTTTCATGTCTCCTCCTTAACTTCTTTATTTATGAAAATATTTAAATTGGAATTTCACATCCTCATGGCAGTTTTTCAAAGTGATTTCGAAAAAAATATGAAACTTATACCAACTCTTCTAGAATTCGAGATATCAGCACCAACTTTAGTTTTTCAAATGTAGGTCATAGCTCACTATGACTTTGTTACAAATAACTTTTTTTTCTCTTACAGATGATATGTCGCAGTAATAGTTTTGTGTTGATAACAACGGAGTTATCGTCATTTATAAAAAAACAAAAAATTATTTCGAGGCCGCCATCTTGAATTTGTGAATTTTAACAAAAAAAATAATGATCTCCGACCTGAAAAACCCCCACTTACCAAGTTTAAATGGAATCGGACCAAATCTTGTCCGCCATCTTGGAGCAGCAATTTTTTTTTATTTCAACAAATTTTCCATAATGTATTGTCACCGGAATTATGAACACCTGCCAAATTTCAAGTTAATCGGAGTTATGGAATTTTTGTCGAAATTAAAAAAAATGGCTGCTCCAAGATGGCGGCCTAGATTTGGTCCGATTCCGTTCAAAATTGGTGAGTGGGGATTTTTGAGGTCGGAGATCATTATTTTCTTGTTAAAATTTATAAATTCAAGATGGCGGCTTGCAAATAATTTTTTGTTTTGGTATAAATGACGATAACTCCGTTGTTATCAGCACAAAACTATTACTGCGACATATCATCTGTAAGAGAAAAAATAGTTATTTGTAACTAAGTCATAGTGAGCTATGACCTACATTTGAAAAACTAAAGTTGGTGCTGATATCTCAAATTCTAGAAGAGTTGGTATAAATTTCATATTTTTTCAAAATCACTTTGGAAAATTGCCTTGAGAATGTGAAATTTCTATTTGAATATTTCTAAAAATGAAGAAGTTTCGGAGGAGACATGAAAATGATCAAAATTTGTTTTTTGCGTATAAAACAAAAACGAATAGATTTTATCAAAATATTTTTTCACATTATAGTTGGCCTTGACAAACTCCACATTTGGTGTCATTTAACCGACCTCTTATCTCTCACCGTTAAAACGATACCCATGGTGAGCATGGTAAGTGGGACACACTGTATACCTTCATTTTTCTTCTCCAAACCTTCTTCAATACAAATTGTCACTGACAAGCTAGTGGATTTTTCTTTTAGACTGACCGATGGGGAAATTCTTCAAGCGCAGTGACATCTTAGGTCAATTCATCTGATTTTTCCTTTCTACACGTATATTGAAATGATATTCATATTTTCATTTTATACAACATTCTTTTCGATTCCACTTTCGTCTACATTTCGTATATTTTTTAATGAAGCATCCTGTTACAAACAGAAATTGTTTGAATGATTCTGATACACAATTCGAAAGTGACAGTTGACAGTTCCTACAATTGACAGGTCGGACAGGTTTCAAACGACTGAAGGTGTGTTTAAAAACCTGTGTTGTCATGATAATGTGTTCAAGAAATTGTGTTGCCATGGTAACGTGTTTAATTTTTTGAATAAATCATTTAGCGTGGTACATATCCCTATGGTAAATGCCATTTTAGTTATGTGAGTAAAAAAGTGATATAATCGAGAATTGTCAAAGAATGAAACGAGTACAGGATGAAATATTTCCCACGACAGTAGTACTATTATTATTGTCACTTTGTAACGGGTTGATATCTTTCATTTTCTCACGAATATACATTCTCTGCAAATCTGTATTTCACTGTGACACAACTATGATAGGTAGGTACCTACTTTGTATGCCTCATTGTTTTTGTGAAAAATTGCCGTGGTTCTCTTGTTCAAACCGACATTATCGGAATTCAAATAGATTGTTAAACTCTTATATAATGCAATAATTACCAGTATAGGAAAACGTTTCATAATGTTTGATATACTTCTTCAATTCAAAACCTATACAGTATACTACTTACATAGTTTACAAGTTTGAAAAACATACTAGATGCTAGATAGCGATTCTCTCACAATTCTCTCATGCAGACAAACAATTTCAATTTCTCATCTCGAATACTGAGATAGAATTGAAAATAAAATTCCAGAGATAAAGAGTGTACCTTCAATTAGGTATTTAATGACACTTAATAATGTTGTATGAAACCATATTATTATGTTGGTATAGTGTGTGAGAAATACTACTCTTTTTAAAAAAGTTCAATTATTATCTTTCTTCGTTAAAGTCTTAGTAATTTTTTGCATTGACTCTGCCGTTACCTGATAGAAATCCATAGTGAATGTAAAAACGACGAGATTTTCACAAAAATTCTTAATAATTCTTAATAACACGACATGGTGAAATTCTCGTACAATAAAATGAGGACAGTGTTTCCAGCAACTCAGCAATTTCTATATTACCCTTATGATGAGTTTTCAGCTTTTATCGCTGAATCAGGCAACCCCTATATGTGTCGAAGAATCCGTAATTAAAAGGGATTAAGCACAATATTCCATGTTCCTGTCTCGGTTCCTGTAGTAATCTTCATGCGATGAATAAAACATTTACTCTCAAATTTTCTGAAAAACACTATGGAACACATTTGTATTATCTATCTAGATTGATACATCATTTTTGACTCATTATAGTGAAAATAATGTTCTGGGATTTCTTGAAGTACAGGGTGCGCCTCTTAAAATGGAACTCCTCCCCTTAACTCTTTTGTTTTCAGGGATGTGAGAAAATTTTAAATAAAAAAGTTGTTTGAAACGACCCAAACTATTATTTCGAGGAGTTGCTTTATATACAGGGTCATTCGTTTTTGCGAAAAGGACATTAATTTCGATTTTTCCAACGGAACACCCTATATATTTTCTGACATGTCGATAGAGCTTTTTTCCTGATTTCAGAAATCTATATGAATTGTACATTTGAATGGAAAATAATTGAGTTATTGCTGATCAAAGTTTACCAAAATACCAAAGAGCCTAAACAATATATGAACATTATTTTTGAGCCCACTATGTTCAACTCACATTATTAGATGATATGAAGTGAGGTTCATAAAGCGTTATTTTGATAAACTTTGATCATCAATAACTCAACTGGTTTTCATCCAAATATGCAACTCATATATATTTTTAACTCTCTATCGACATGTCGGAAAATATATAGGGTGTTCTATTGAATCAATCAAAGTTTATATCCTTTCCGGAAAAACTAATGACCCTGTATATCAAACAATTTAACGAAATGAAAGTTTGGATCGGTTCAAAAAACTTCTTCATTCAACATTTCTTCAGATCTCTGAAAACAAAAGAGTTAAGGAGGGGTTCCATTTTAAGAGGCTCACCCTGTACAAACAGTTAGAAATTAAAAAGTAATAAATAAGTAAAACCACAATTCTAACTGCTAGAATATAAGTTTGCAAAGGTTTTTTGCTTTGCGCAAAACAAAGGAGAAAAACTTCATTCCTTCAAAATATCACTGGATAATCCGGGATAATATATACTTATCCCAAAAAGACGAAAAATGAAACATTTGTACGGAAAATTTCACACCAAACATTTTCGATCAATTTAAAGCCTGTATTTCGTATCAACTAAACAAATTTCTTGGAAATTTTTTTCTCCTCCTTGGCGGACTGAGCATGAAATTACACTAGAAATTTTTTGACGTTTATAGGTTAAATGACATTTACATTCAACTTCAGATTATTTCGAGTTCATTCTATAACAATAAATGAAAATAATTTATCAACAGTTTACCCTACTATAATATTATGTGGGTAGACTTGCAAATTCGAAATTTACGGAACCATCAAAAATCGTCATTATCCAAGTATATTTTCAATAATATTTCAGTGTGAAACTTTTCTACTGAATACCACTTTAGCTTCAATTAAGATCCAGGAATCTTTTCTCTAACACGAATATTTAGAAAATTTTCCCTCGATTTCGACTCGGGAGAATTTTCAAATTATTCGTTTTCTCGAAAAAATTTCCGGAAATTATTGAAGCTCTCGTGATATTATAAGTGAAAATTGGTTTTGTCGCTTGATGCAGTGGACCATAATTAGACAATGCAAGCTCGTCTTCAAAAGTGACTCATTTTGGGCTCATCAATATCATTGGATAATGATTTGGGAAGCAAACATAAGTTTTTTTGTTGTTTCAGTCGATGATGCATATCAAGGAAAAGAAAGATATGGACGATGCATTTAAGAAAGCGCAAAAACCTTGGGCCAAACTCCTGCAGAAAGTAGAAAAAGCGAAAACCGACTACCACACCGCCTGCAAAACGGAAAAATCTGCGGCCAATCAAGAAAGGAATGCAGCTGGAGATAGTTCATTTTCTGCCGATCAGGTAAACAAATTTAGTAAAATGAAACCCGATTCAAATACTGGAATTTCATACCAACAAAATTTCAATAGGTCTACCACAAGGAATGGTTCTTAAGCCGCTTCTGAGTTCATTTAAAATCAGTCATAATGTCAATCATACAATTTTTTTGAAAGAAAGAAAGCCTCTATGAAGTTGGATTGAGTTGAATAAAACAAACATTTTGAATATTTTTGTTGCAAGAGAAAATCTTGGGCTTTGAATCCTCATTAAAAAAATGTTTTTATATATTTCCAGACGTTTCGCCTATGACCATAGGCTTTTTCAATCTTCATTTAGTATAATCTGCCAAAAAACCTAGAAGGATTCATGAAAAAAAAATAACATTATTCAAGTTCTCTTTATTGCACTAATTTTGAACTAGCTACACAGATCATTATTGATCTCTTTCGGTGACGTTCTGAAATAGTTGATATATGAAATCAGTATAACTTGTTTATGATCTGACAATGACTTGCAATCCATTATCTGTTACTGGCGTCCTAGTAGGGAGATATATAAACGTAATTTTCACGTTCTGGTGTGTAAGAATGTTTTCTTAAGTATTTCATAGTTTGATTATTATCAACATCAAGGAAATAAGCTCTGTCATAATTTGCAGGACTTTTCGTTTTTTCCACCTTACGAGTAAAATATTTTTGCTAAAAGCTGCGGCTAGAAGCAAGATTGAGAAAACTTCAGAAACTTTTTATTCTCAAAAAATATGTATTTGATTTAACTTAGTGATTTACCACAGTTTGAATGAAAAATTCCATAGTCCCAAAAAAATCCGAGTGAGCATTGAACAAGTTTTGCAGCAACAGTATATGGATTTGGCACGACCATGGTTAGTATTTTCTTGCGGCTGATATTATTTCCCACTCCATTACTCCTATGCACTAAGACAAAAATTGCAAAGTTCTAGCGAAAGGAAGGAGTTTAGATGAATAGAATTAAAACGACCACATAATATGACTGACAAAATTCGAGCAGTCCTTTGATGTGCATAGGACTTTTGTTATAACATATGGATGTTAACTTTCGAATCGAGTTAAATAACATAATATTAAGTTTTGTCATACTAGTCTATATATGAAAGAATGCCATTTTCAAATATCCCAACTAATTTCTCACCATAAGTAGTTTGCTTTTGAACGTCTCAATCTGCCTACCATCTGATGATATCAAGATAATGGGCGAGTGGACTGATAATGAATTATTGGCATTCAATTACTCTACTGCGTCGTTAGGAACCTATTTACATTTTTGAAAAACTCACGCTTTTTTACGTGAATAATGTAAATTTCAGAACTCATTTCAAAGGAACCGTCATGGCCGCCATTTGGCGATACGTCGAATAAATGGTGACGTCATTTTTTATGCTGTTTAGTTATTGGTTAGATGAACTTCCATTTGCACTCATGAAGCAAGGTTGTCAAATCACCAATTATAATCAAGTTATCAAAGAGATAGCATGCCCAAATATTTCTTATTCTCCATAAGAAAATATCATGTAAATGTTGGAGACTTGGCAACATTGTGCTGAATGATGAGAACTGACAAGACCACGCCCACAATTCGTGCGCTGTTGTCACGTTCACCGATTCAAATTTCCTCTAGTGTGAATTAATATAATCATTATTTACACAAATTTATTATGAGCAATAAACCACAAATCATAAGGGATCATTTTGAGACAATACTTGATTGAGAATTTCTGAATTATTTATTAACTATTATTTCTGAAGTTCCCAATCATATTTCAACACATGGCAACTGTGTTATGGTTTGTCCCTACAATGATGGAAGTAAGATATGGTGCGCGTATTCGGCCATTATTACGTATTGAGAATTTCAGAAAAACCACTCGACCGCCTACTATGATTTCTCTACGTCACAACGAGCGAGACGTTGATTCTACATTTTTCCGCTAGATGGTGAGGTCGAGTAAAATTTCTGAAAAAAAAGCGCATCAGTAATTACACCATATCTTACTTCCATCATAGTCCCTACTTACGAAGTTGTGGTGTCAGTTTTTTCTGAAGGTAAATATCTAGCCGTTTGAAAATTACCGTGGCATTATTGATGATTTAAACACACGAAAATTGACCGAAAAGTTCTTGAAAAATATTAAATTTTAAGGTATTTAAAAAAAAAATTAGTCAACTCGCCTATTAGATTAACCAATGTAATATCAATCGCTAGTTTCAATCATCATGGTTGATCACGCTCATTTTGATTTTTCATCTATCAGAAGACCCAAGTGGTGAGTGTAAGTAAACTATTCATTATAAGCTTGTATGGAAACTGTGCATGTTGCCTTCAACGCTAATCCTTCTTGGAACATTCTCTGATGCATGATTCATCTCAGTGGCTCTGAGTATACACTTCCCCAAAAAATTAACGTACCACCAAAAAGCGTTCAAAAGTTTGAGATAAATTTTCGTTTAAACTAAACTGGGCGTCAATTGAAACGTTAATAGTGAAATTTGGCATCAAGTTTGACTTCTCGTAATTTCTAAAATATTGAACGAATTTTGAATTGCCGCCCAGATTCTGAATGCCTTTTTCATCGTCTTCCGAACCATGCCTTACAGCTTCTTCTAAATTGATCAGGACCCGTGATACAAGATGAAACAAAGTTTCGTGCATTTTGAAGAAAATTTCTCCACCCCCCCCCCCCCATTTGGTCGGAAGACCACGATGCTCATATTTTATTCGGGCATTTCATAAATAGCAACCATACCTCGGGACGTTTTCGAGTTTTTGCCAAAAACTACTGTGGTTTCCGAAAAAAATTTTTTTTTTAATTTTCTCAAATGGACTGATTACCTGTATCCTCAAAACGATGAATCAGTCTATTTATTGTCATGACTGACTTATTGAAAATTGAACTTAAATGAGTTTGGGTATATCCTAATCGTCGTAGCCTGAAATAATAATTATCTGTACTGAATTATAGTTTATATCACTATAGTGATCTTACCTAATGATTTTCCATTTTGACCCGATTTGAACGAGGCATCTTTAAATTTTTTAGGACCCGAATTACACTAACGTTTTCATGAAAATTGGCAATTGATATAACCTCTATGCATATCTACATTATTGTTTCAACAATACGTTGTTATAGAAACAAGGTATCGTTGTTTGTTTTTGTTGATGAGATGTGTTGATTTACTGCTCACTAAGGTATAACACTTTTATCATAGACTGCAAAGTAATAAATTATTGATTGTTTTTGAGTAACCTGGTATACATATCTGCTCCAACGCTTTCCTGAAATGCATAATAGCATCCATTTATGAAACTCCTCTAAAATCATTCCATTTAAAAAAATACAAAAAAAAAAATTTTTCGGAAACCACAGTAGTTTTTGGCAAAAACTCGAAAACGTCTCGAGGTATGGTTGATATTTATGAAATGCCTGAATAAAATATGAGCATCTTTGCTCTTGTTTCACCCTGTATCACGGGTCCTGATCAACTCAGAAGGAGCTGTAAGGAATGGTTCGAAAGACGATGAAAAAGGTATTCAGAATCTGGGCGGCAATTCAAAATTCGTTCAATATTTCAGAAATTCCGAGAAGTCAAACTTGATGCCAAATTTCACTATTAACGTTTCAATTGACGCCCAGTTTAGTTGTCCGATTCGGACGTTTTTTGTTTTGGATGACAGGTTTGTAATACCCAGTAGTGTGTAACAGTTACATTATTAATTTACAATTGAAATCACACTCCAGCCTTATCTTCTTCACTGTGAACCTCTTACGTCTTGGGACTCCCTCCTTTCGTCCTTATACTTTCTCCTTCGTCCTTGGACAGTCTGTCAAGAGAGGATTTGAAGATCATAGCTAGGCTACATATGGAATATTCTCAAACTCAGGTCATTTATTTTGAATGAATAGGTAAGAATAGGAGTGGTTCAACTCTTATTTGTTCCTTTTTTTCATCTATTTCAGTATTTGATTTTTGTTTTCTTCCCCTTAGATTAATAGTCACAAATTCAGTCTTACCTGACCCTTGCTGTAAAACTATGGTTTTAGAAGCAATAAAGATATCATTATTATTATTTTTGTTATTATTTTTCAACATTCTTCTATCTGATTTACTTCATTATTTTTCCTATTACTCCAGAAACAGAATTTTATTGCATATGATTTCATTGAATTCAATCAGCATTATAAGCACGTAAGTAGCAGGCTATGGAGAGTCATTTCTTTGACTAGTCGTATGGAAAATGTGATCATAAATGGAAGCCTCATTGTTGCAAGGTACCTATTGGAGATTTTAGAATCACATATAGTGTAAGAATTTGTGTTGATGCAAGATAATGACAGGCCTCACGTCACCCGAGTTGTGAAAATTCATTTAGAGCAAGACATCAGTATCGCTACCTAAGCACGGCCAGCTCGGAGCCCGGAATTGAATACCATTGAGAATCTCTGGGACATTTTTGGGACACGATTACAAGAAGAACGTAACTTGAATACTTTGGTAGACGTACGGCAGAGACAAATTTGGGAAACACCTGGACCAAAATGACAAAAGGTCTCTTATTTTAAGTTTTTATCGTCGTTGCCTAGAAGTTATTCGTGCTCGAGGCGGAAATACTCGCTGCTGAACTTCGTTTATAGATTTGGATATTCATTTTCCATAAAATCATGTTACGCTATAAAATGGTGTTGCTGGAGTAATAGGAAAGATAATGAAGTGAATCCAGAAAAGAAATGTTGAATAAAGATAAGGCTGAAGTGTAATCCAATTCTGACCTAATAGTGTAACTATTACACTCTACAGGGTATAACACATTTCATGAAACAAACACGCTACAATTACTACACCCAGTATGCATAAAAAATAGGTTTTTTATGTGATACAGTATGCACACCAATGTTCAGCAGTACATGTTCTTGGGGAAGTGTATTTTGATGAAGATTGTCATTTTTTTAATATTTTGATTCACTTTGATGAGGAGCTTTGAGTGTGGTCCCAAATATTGATGACGCCGTCTCTTTTTATTTAGGTTATAGTTCTGAAAGGAGCTTCCACATCTTCATTTTGGAAATCAGTGGATCTTTTCACCCTTGTTTTTTGTTGAATTCCATAATATTTTTCAGTTCCCTTCTCTTCTATGCTGATCTCTGATCAGTTGAAGAAAACGAAGTTACTTTGATATGTTCTATATTGTTTCACTAAATTATATTTTTCATCGAAAACCTTCAGGATATCAACTCCTATACCTTCCTCCTCTTTTTTCCTACTCCAGACCTGCACGAAACATAGTAAAGAGTCCTTTCCGTACGATCGAGAAGATATTAAAAATTGGAATTTCTGATCGTCAGGTGAGGAAGATGCAAGACAGGGTGCAAAAGTCGAAGGAAGAGGTGCAGAAGTGCCGAGAAAAATACGAGGTTTCCCTGCAAGAAATCAACCAGTACAATCCCAAATACATGGAGGACATGACAGTGGTGTTCGACAAGTGCCAAGAAATGGAGGCTCAAAGGCTGAACTTTATCAAATCTACCTTATTCGAAATCCACAAATACCTCAATATATCACAGGACCCCACGTAAGTAATAGCACAATAATATACTAGTGGACTTTCATGATCTTCACACTGATGCTTAAAATGGAGAAGTTTCCAATATTGATCCTGATGTTTTTTTTTAATCATGAAACAAAGAATTTTATTCACTGCCAAAATGATTCACAAAATAAACATGAATTCATTCTTAACACAGTCATTAATTAATTGATTATTCATCATATAACTATTTCAATTATTGGAATAATAATTGATAGAGAAGTTTGAACAGTTTTTACTTCCAACATAAATGCCTGAAGATGTTCCATGTTGCTGCTGATCAGAAACGTTTCAGATATTCCTTGAAGAGTTGATCCCACAGTTTCATCAGATATTTTAATTTATTTAAGAAGATGGAAAATTCGATATATTGTAAGATATCACAATTTTATAAATTCATATTTACAGGTGTACAAAAAATGTTTGTATCTCGTGTATAAAATTCGTGTTTTCATTCGTGTTTTCATGGACAATTTTGGGCCTTGGCCTGACTCTCATGTGCCATTAAAAAACACTCATATTAGGCACTTTACGTATTTTATCTTTTTTTCGTAAGATCATAATTATTTAACTTCAGAAAAATATAAATGAGAAAGGAACTGGGTTCCTTCACCATTACTACGATCCTATGACTAACTTTATGAAAAGCTACATTCACACAGACTTAAAATACGATCTTCTGAGTTAGTACGACGTTGCCGGAATCATCAATATATGTCTAAGTTATGTTATGCATAATTTTCATAAATCTCTTATTTGCTGGATGAGGTTGATTACTAATGATGATGAATTATGATACTTCGCAATAGTATGTAATTTTTTACTTTCGTTATATCATAAAATGATAATCATGATTTCTCAGTCAAGTTCTTCAAATGAATCCGTTCATTTATAAAACGGATATATTTTCTAGGAAAGTTGCGGATTATATCTTGCAACAGCGCATAATACTTTGAGCCCGTCTACATCACTCAAAATACTGAAAGGAACACCGAAAGCTGATCTGATTTTCTGGTTTTGTATGTTTCTGTTTACCAGTTCTACTTATGTCGATTTTTCAACTCCATTTATTAGTTAGCCTATGTCTACAACAGTTTTTAGTTGTTTCGTTAGTTAGGTGATCATCGTTATTTTTCATGATATAATCAACAACGACGTCAAGTTGTCTTCTTCTTTTTCTTCTTCTATTTTTTTATTCGTTAGTTATTCCAATGATACAAGTAAGATATGGTGCGCGTATTCGGCCATTATTACGTATTGAAAATTTCAGAAATATCACTCGACCGATTACTATGATTTCTCTACGTCACAACGAGCGAGACGTTGATTCTACATTTTCCCGCTAGATGGTGATGCTGCTGTTGCTGCTGTGACGAGTGTAAATAAAATGGCAAATGGCATTTTAGGTACGCGGAACATATGTAACAGTGGAATTATTCAACTCTGAATTCGAAAAATATGCGACAATTCCAAAACTGACAGATGTCATAATTGTGCAATGTCGTCATCTATTAGAAGATCGACGGAACCATTGCTCTCGCTGTTCTCGAGAAGTCGAGTAAAATTTCTGAAACAAAAGCGCATCAGTAATTACACCATATCTTACTTCCATCACTGTTATTCCCTAACTATATTCTTCATCATCTGCTATATTCAGACTATATTCAGATAGTACGTCATAGTTCGCCACCCCGAAAAAATGCTTCATCATGATAAAGAAACTTCCCCATTTCATTATTTCCAAATATTCAAATATTGGAACTTTTGGCTTTGATGATCTTCACGGTGAAGCTTAAAATCATATTATTTTCAAATATTGAAATATTGGAACCTTTGTTTTTAATTTAAGATTATTTTCTGAAGGTTAAACCAAATATACGACGAACTGTACCATACGATAAACAATGCGGACTACGAAAAAGACCTTAAGTGGTGGTCAAATAACCATGGAGTCAATATGGCGATGAATTGGCCGCAGTTTGAGGTGAGTTTGGACTTTGATTTCTGCATGAACGTTTTCGATTTGGTTTAATACATTTTTTTTAGTACTAGTTGATGTTTCGACTGCTCATGCGCAATGAGGTGTAATCAAATCCAATAAAATTAATTTGTTTTCCATCTTCTAGCTCACTGCATGCTTCAACTAAACTTTTTCGAAAATTTTACTTCAATCAGACAACTTGGTCAACTTATAGAATACAATTATTTCTATGGAAATTCTTGAGCTTGCTGGAAAATCGAGATCCATGTCATTGAAAAGGAAAAATATAATTCTTATTTAACATATTGATGATAAGCGCCAAATTAAATTAGTTGACTAACCGAAGCCATATACTTCATTGAATACGCGACTTGTTTTCAAGATGATACTCGTCGATACGTTATCATTATTATTATACGCAGTATATTCTGAAAAATACAGAGTGCCGTGATAGAGTTAGGGGAAAAATAGATAAAAATAATGATGAAAGGATCAGTTCATTATTCTAAACAATTATAGTTGTAGTGCATATGGTTATCCACTTGAGAAGTAGAAGTATGTTGGTTTTCTCTCTAATGAAAGACTCAGTATGTTTTTATTTATGATCAATAATATGTTTTCTACTAATGATAATAGTTTTTTTTTTCGATCACTGAGTCAAAAATGCAGAGAAAATAAATTCAATCAACATCTGATAATCCGTTTGAGAGATAATCTGAAGATTGTGTTGAGGATTAAAAAAGTTCTGAAGCATCCCTTGCGCCTAATTTTTAAACATGATAGTTTATTTCATTATTTACTTTTTCATTTATAGGTTTGATCAGGTCATAGTTTCTTTTGTGGGTGAGAAGAAGGCAAACAGAAGAAACCGATTATTAATCTTTTTGTTCAATTATGTTTAACAAAAACTCATCATGTTGGTGAGCCGTCGACGAACACACTGCCAATTTATTTTCTTCTCAAGTCAGGATAACCCTGTATACATTTCTGGTATCGATACAAGAACAACTACACTTCACGTTTATCAGGAGTATCACAATCATTTCTCACTTTCATTACTTCTTGGTTGACAGTTTGTAAAAGAAAACTGTGTTACTTAGACTTTTTCAATTCTCAGCTGACGACATCATTGGTGTAAATGAGAAAAGACAGGGGCCCCTGTACTGATCCCTGGGGTATCCCACTATGAGTTATGAAATTTGCATGATATTGGGTGACATCCCGTCGCTGTCGAGCGGTAGATTTCTTCCTTTTATGACTGCATGTTCGATTCCTGTAGGATATACCGAAAAGTTTCAGGTCATCCATAAGAGCGTGGTGATAAAGTTGGGGATAAAAGGATAAAATACATAATTTCGTCATTGACATCACTATAGAAGTAAGAAAAGGATCAGGTCATTATTTTGAACAATAAGAGTTGGTTATCCACTTGAGAAGCAAAAATATGTTTTTTTTTCTCCAATAGAAGACTCAGTTCGTTCATTATTTCATAAGGCTCTTCGTTTTTTGTGTAAGAATGCAAAGAGAAGAAAAATATGTTGATCTGTTCGGAAGATATCACAATTCTGTGAAAATATTAAGTTAATAATATGTTTTCCACACATGACAATTTCTCGTTCCGATCACTGGATCAAAAGAATGAAAACAAAATGAATGTTTTGTAGAAAACATCGTAGTTTATTTTTATTTCCACTTTTTCGATTTTTTGGTTTGATCAGCTGATAGTCTTGTTTCATGGAAAGAAAAATGCAAACAGAAGGAATCTGATCAGAAATCGATCAATTCTTTCGTTCACAGCCAGCGAAGAAAACACTGCTTATTTATTTTCTTCTCAGGTCAGTTTAACCTGCGGTATCGATACAAATCCACTTCACATTTATCAGATGTACTTTGAACACCTCTGAGTTAACAGTTTTTGAAAGATTGAAGAGAAATTATTCAATTATTCGCTGATGACATCATTGCTATAAATGAGAGAAGACAGGGGCCCCAGTAATCATCCCTGGGGCACCCCAATATAAATTACGAAATTCGCATGATATTGGATTACATCTCGTCTCTGTTGAGCAGTAGATTTTTCCTTTTATACTCTGCATGTTCCGTTCCTGTAGGATTATACCGAAGAGTTCCGCGACATCCACAAGGGCAAATCCAAAGATTCATCGCCGTCCGGCATCACGCTCATCCATCAGAGGCCAGTCGGAGAAGACTTGCATGTATGCTTTTTATTATTTTCTTTTTCGTTCGCATCGGGAGTCCGAAGAAAAAAATATATGTTTAAGAAAATTGATATTAATAATTGCTAATTGGAAATATTTCAACTATAGAATTCTGAGCTCAGAATATGAAGATTCAACTTGAATTATATCTTCGATTTGTGATGAAAATCTCATTGCATTCAAATTCTTGAAATTTCCTTCAATTAGCATTCAGTAGATAAATTTAGTTTCAACCTCAATATTTTCTGGATATCCATTAAGTGTATAATGAATATCGGTTTTTAAACAAAAACCAATTTCTGACAAAATGTTACTTGAATGATATTTTCATGGCATCGCTTTACTTCTACAAATAATTTCGACATTTCAGTATTCAATTGAATATGTTGACGTAAAACTTCTTCAAAAATGTCACTTCATCTTTAATCGTTGTGACAATGATGGAAGTAAGATATGGTGCGCGTATTCGGCCATTATTACGTATTGAAAATTTCAGAAAAATCACTCGACCGCCTACTATGATTTCTCTACGTCACAACGAGCGAGACGTTGATTCCACATTCTCCCGCTAGATGGTAATGCTGCTATGGCTGCTGTGACGAGTGGAAATAAAATGGCAAATGACATTTTAGGTACGCGGAACATATGTAACAGTGAGATTATTCAACTCTGAATTCGAAAATTCTGCGACAATTTCAAAACTGACAGATGTCATGATTGTGCAATGTCGCCATCTATTAGAAGATCGAGGGAACCATTGCTCTCGCTGTTCTCGAGAGGTCGAGTAAAATTTCTGAAACAAAAGCGCATCACTAATTACACCATATCTTACTTGCAACATTGTTGTGACATAGAACTATTCAATTTTTCGGATTCTCGATACGAATTATTTTGTAGTTTTTGATATTTCGACTAAATTATGGCCGACATTTTATTTCGAATACCTAACATCTCATGATTATTTGCATTTCTAGTGGTTTTGTGGGGTATCAAGGTGTTAACATATAACAACTGTAGCTGCTGCAAAAACTAATTTGTAGCTTCTTCGTCTTGTATTAGACTTTCTTGATCGAAAATTAGGACATGACGTGAATTAAAAACTCTCGTTGTATCAATTATTGACTTATGTATGACCAAAAAATGGATATACAGGGAGTAAATTTGACACCAAACTACATTCGATATTGCGTTAACCAATGATAGTAGGAAAATTTGGTGAAATGTGCAATTTAAATATCAAGGAGACAACTGTTGAGGAGTTTGTTGTATTACTTCCAGCCGACCGACCTGCTCCTAAAACTTCGAATTTGGCATTTTTTAGTTTTTTATGCGATTCTATGAGAATTCCATATTTTTTGGCAAAATTGAAGTACCTAACCTCACAAAGTGTGCATAATGAGTCATTAATTTGAAAAGGGTTTCATTTTTTTAAAGCAAAACAGCCGATATACATTCAATAGCAGTGACGGGTCAATAAATGAAGTTGTGTTATGTCAATTTCAAAATCAAATACATTCCACATATTCGTGAGGTCAAGTATTCAACTTTTGAAACAAAAATTGAATTCACCTTAAATTACACATAATGAATTCAAAGATGACAATAGAAACATGTTTTTATTTAAACTTTTAGGGGTAGGTGCCATGGGGGGGAGTTTAGGCAATGTTGAACGATGTTTGTTTTCAAATTAACATCCTATATAAATATATATCAATGAATAAGTATGGTTGAAATTATTGATACTCTGCAAATCCAATTAGTTCAGTGTTTCAACATTTGGTAGCTTTCTGCAAATTTATCACCTTATGAGAAAATGCGTTGTTTTCACTTCGTTCCTGAATGCATTTTCCAATTATTTCAATAAAAAAATTCAAATATACTCAGGAGTATCATCATGAAATACATCTTCCCTAAGCCAATTTGAAAATTTATTTTTCAATGGATAATTCAGACAAACTCTTGAAGTTTTTTCCTTAATTCTATTACAAATGTGTTTCATTCCAGAGGTATAAACCCAAAAATAATAAAATTAATGAATGGGCGATCATAATTGATAAAAATATATATAGCATGTCCAGCAAATTGAAATTATCCTTCTCAAATTCATTCTTTTGGATACTTTTCCAGCTGAAATTTTATATCACGTCGAATGATTTTGCAGGAGTATTCAGCAACTCAAAAGTCCGTCAAAAAACAGGCGGCAGCAAAACCAAACGCCGCCACGGTGCCTAGTAAAGATGTAGTCAAACCAGTCACAGTAGAAAAAAGCGAAAGTCCATCGAACAGGGTATCAACTTTGACGTAAGTCCAATTGACTATCATAACCGCTCGTATTATGAAATTCAATTATCTATTTTTCGACTTTTTCATGATCAATTCTTTTTAAGGAACGGATCAACGAATAACAAAACGAATGATTCCAATCCCTTTGACGAAGAAGATTGGGAAGAAAACGACGCCTTGGTTGACAATGGTGAACCCGGCGTACCAGTCAAGGCACTCTATGATTACGAAGGTGCCGAGAATGACGAACTGAGTTTCAAAACAGGTAAGAATAAGATAACTTTTTTGTTGTTGATTGAAATTTAATTATTTTTTGTAATGATTGCCTTGAATAAAGCCAATTATTATCAAAGTTGTTCAATATAATTTGAATGATAGTAAATTTCAATTCCCAGGAAAATTACCTGCTGATCAGTTGAATTGTAACGAGCACATAATGGGGTGCAGTTTTTCTCATTCTAAAGATAAAACCATTGGGTATATGACTCCCTGTTTGATGAAAAACTTTTGGGGTGTTTTCCAATCATTTTCTTTCATAATGTTCATACATATTCTCCGAAATGGTTGTGCAATTGTTCTCATATCTCTTCAACTATTGACATTTTTGTATAAGATTTGATGCAACAACCCATCCAAGAAAAAAATCTGAAAATATTCACTGCAATGATATTTTCAGATTTTTTTTCTTGGATGAGTTGTTGCATCTGATCTTATACAAAAACGTCAATAGTTGAAGAGGTGTACAGGTGTAGAAAATTCACATTTTTCGACAAATTTCCTTTTTTTTTTCAAACTGAAAAGATGAGTCGAGATTAGCAAAACCACTCAATGGTTACTACCCCCTATAATTATTTTATTTTTGACATTAAAAAAATATCCTCACGGGGAATTTTTTTCCTTCTCGAATCAACAGATGATACATTTTCATTATCTGGAAAAATAAACATGAAGCAGCAAAATTTAACGAACACCTTATATATTTCCTCACCTTGGTAAATACTTTTCGAGGAGGTTTTCAAAAATACCGCACCCAATATATTATCTTCTGTATTACTCAAAAGATAGGCTTTCAAACCTGATGATGTTTTTTGATCGATTATGAATGATTTTCGAAAGTTGGCCTTGTCTATGAATACAATATTGATTATCTCTGATTATCGCAAATGAGAATTGAATGTCATAGGTATAGGTATATAGTGAGTATACTTGGATTTGCAATCACTGTCATGAAATTTTTTTTGAAAATTGTTCAAAAATCGATTATACTCTGTTTTGAATGTCGATAATTTGAGAAATGCAGAAGATAAATATAATGAGTCTGGTATTTTTGGAAAGCTCTTCGAAAAGTCTCCAATGGTGTGGAAATATATAGGGTGTTCTATTTAAAATACATACAGTTTTTGTTGCTCCCTGTTGAGATTTCCAGATAATGAAAATGTATCTGTTGATTCGAGAAGGAAAAAGATACTTTTTTTTTTCTACTGCCAAAAAATGAAAGAGTTACAAGGGCTAATACTTTATCTTCGTAATTCTCAATATATTTTGGCTTTAACAGATTTTGCTATTTTTACAAAACTGTTCAAACGATTGATTGTGGAGACACTAATTTTACTTAACTTCATGCTCTAAATGTGTTTTATAGTTATTACTGAACATACATTTGATGAAATTTCTGTCCGAATGTTTTTAGTTGAATTTCAGCATTTTTATTAAATTGAGGTGGTCACTATAATGGGTAAAATTGATCATTCTAATTTCCATGAAAGTGGGGTTTATATTTTGTGATCGAATATTTTTTATGTTATATCTTGCTCATTTTCTTATAATTTGATTTATTCTCAGCATGCCGAAAATATAATATATTACAAAAATTCAATCACAAAAAAATATTATTTTTTTTATTCAGTTTACCTCTGATTATTTGAAATTGGTTTTTATGAGTTTTCAATGCCTGATTCATTTCACCTTGAAGTGGTGGGTGAAGTATATCAGATGTTACAAAAAAATTAAGGCTTTTTTCCTAATTTTTCAAAAATTATCTTCGACTTGAGCCATTCAAAAAGGGTGCCAGGAGCTACATTAATTTTGTATGTTTTTTGTCCCAATACTTTTCGATAAAAGACCGTTTGACGGTATTTTTGAATGCAGATTGACGGACTTATGGAAGAAAATATGTATCATTTCGTTTGAAATAAAAAACATGTTTTTTGAGCCACTCTGTGATTTGTTGACATAGAGAAAAACTGAGCACATATTCAAAAAATTCGTGAAAAATAATTCCAGAAAAGTTTTTGAATGACCAAAATATGTTGTGGATTACGAGGATAAAGGGGGTAGTGACATATTTTAAAGTGGGACGCCGTACAAAAAAAACATCAGAAATATTATTATTTTGAAATTGGGGGTGTTCGCTGATTCCGCTCTTGTTGCAGGTGAAATATTCGACAAACTGGAAGACGAGGACGAACAGGGTTGGTGCAAGGGTAGGAAAGACGGTCGGGTAGGTCTCTACCCCGCCAATTATGTTGAAGCGGTCCAACAATAGCGCGTGTAACCTCATCATTGTTACTATCATTGATTGTTGTTATCTTCTGAGGATTATTCGGTGAGCTCAAGGATCACCGACATTGTTATCCGAGAGAGTGTCTTTGTATGCGTGAAGAAGAGAGAATGATTGTAGTTTGTAGCGTTTGTACAAATCGATGGCGTTGCGGTATACATGTGGTAATCATAGAGATATTGGTATTATTTATGTATATGTTTCCCCTTTTTTCCTGTAGAGGGTGATGGACACCCTTGATTGAATGTCCAAGAAGCCCTTTTGAGAAAGTTGTCATAGCTCTGTGGTAGCTTAACGGGGCATTTTCTTAAAAATGCCTAAAATTGCAACTGGAGAGGTCAGTCTTGGATAAGCGAACTTCGAATTATGTTTTTAACCCTGATATTGCCAAAACTATTTTTTTACAAAAATTTTGGAAATGTTCATCAAGGTAGTCTAAAATAATCAGGTAAGTATTTCCTTGAAACTATTTCAGGTAATTACCTCACCACTGTTGAAAAAAAGCCCATCCTTTTAAAAGGATGGTGGCAATTTATAGGAATAAAAATATATTCTTGAGAAATTAATATAATGATCCAATGATGAACCAAACATCACTGTAAAAACTAATCATAATGTCCAATGACAAATATTATTTCGAATGAAAAACAATACAACACATTTTTGGATGTAATGTTAAATTGCAGTTCTGGCACGCATAGTTCGCTTTTTTGTGACACTGCACACATACTGTCTGGTTGTCTTTGTAAACTATCAAATGATCTTTCCCATCATATCTGAAATACTCATGGATATCAGCTGGAATACTTGATGGCCCTCTTCTGGTGGTGTTTTGGAATGATTTCAATATTCCTAGCGCAACACAACGTCTGAATCCTAGGTGATCTAATTTCCCACCATTATGGCGATATAGTTGCCATGCATTTTGTTCTGTCATATCAACGCAATGACTGAAAAGTGGGAAATACTATTTCTTTCCTCTAATAGATGTCCTATAAAGGCTGAAGTTTTGATCAGCCCTATCTACTCCACCCATATTTTTATTATTCTTTTTTATACAATATGGTTGTTCAACGTGAATATTTTTCTTCTCTTTTTGTAAAAATCTTTTCACTTGCGCTAATGGGAATACAGTTAAAAAATTCGAAGCCATAGTGACAACGTTGTTGTCGTGCCACTTGCAGATAATTACTTCACTGCTCCTGTCTGTCATATATTCGAGAGATACTCTGTCTTTCTTTTTCAATACAGTAGAATGTGCGACATCACAATCCTTTCCCACTCTATTTTCCCTTATTGTTCCGGTTCCTTTGATACCACAAGATTTCAATTCGTCTAATAATTTCAGCGCCGTGAAGAAATTGTCAAAATAGAAGTGAAATGAAACATCTGGATTCTAATTTTGGATAACATTGGTAAATTAAAGTACCAGAATTCCAGAATTTTGACGATCATGAGAGTTAAGGTAGAATCGCACAAAATTCATAGTTTTTTTGCTCGCAAAAAATCAAAAATTGTTCCAGGCAGACTTTACCCTTCTTGGTATTTTCCGATATTGATTCGCTTACATATTCAATGCTGATTATTGTAGTGGCATTAGACCCAAAACGAGACATTTCAATTTTTAAGTGACTGATATAAAATGTCAAACTTTGACAATCATAGCACTATTTTGCTGTCGAACAGAATAGCCGCTCATATTATGTTTGTTTACCTAAATAGCCGCTGATATCGCATATCATGTTACTTCAATCATGCAATTTCATAGGTGCAGCCAGGTGTGAATGAAATAATCGGCGTTATTTTGATATTCTGTCAGCGGTGTCAGCCTTTCAACGTCATGACTTCATGAGCGGTGGTTATTGGAAATTTCGAATTTTTTATTCATGTGCATCGTTTACCCTTCCTTGTACACATTACTGGTTAATTCAAGTTTCGAAAACGATCATGAATTGACCTTGACATCATTGATTACATACATAATATTTCCCAAATGGTAAGTGGATACAATCTCATCAAATAAATAATGCAAAAATGAATTGGAATGCCTCTAGATTGAGAGTGTGGTCACATTTGAAAAAAATGTACAATTTTAGGTTGTAGCTACTTTCCAAATTACCGAAAACCTGACAATTTGAGGTGAAAAAAATTATCTGCCGTTACTGAAGGTGTAAACAATGATAATCTTGTTTTTGTCTTCTAAATCGAAATAAGGCCCATTGAAAATATTCGTCTCGGGTGTCCATTACCTAGGCATATTCGCCTTCATGTTTCTTGAAGCAAGTTGAAGGCGAATATAACAATAATAATCATCCATATTATTAACTATGTCTCGGGTGTCCATTACCTAGGCATATTCGCCTTCATGTTTCTTGAAGCAAGTTGAAGGCGAATATAACAATAATAATCATCCATATTATTAACTATACTATCATCCATTATTGCCCTTCTTCATTCAATGCCGTACTTTAATTTATTGAATATTTTTATTCAACTCTCCCGATTGCGTAATGTCAATTATTCGCATTTTCCACATTTGCATGTTTTTTATTTCTTGTTAAGTTTTTAATTTTTGTTGTGCTTTTGGAACGAAAATTGACGTTGCGCTAATTTCGGGAGGTTATGTTAAGGCAGAGATTAGCCATCCACAGAACAAGAAGAGCACATCTAATAGGCACTTTGGAAAGATGGTCACGTGACGAATTATAGTTCCAACTGAATCTAATAGATGGCAACAACATCCGGAAGTATACAAGGTTGCTAGAAATAATCATCATTTCTACCAACCTTGGGAAATATATTTGTTTTATTTGAAGTGGGTGGAGTTTATTTTATCGATCCGCACTACTGAAATAAATAGAATTGAGAGAAATTTTCTTATGTCATGATTTAGAGATTTCAGGTTATTTTGAATTTTAAAAAACTAGTTGAGGTGGAAACGTAGATGGACGCGCCATCTACATTTCGTTTCCAAAACCTTCTTGAAAAATCTTTCGAATTTTCAACAGGGAAGTGCGCATCTTGTTCTGTGGGTGGCTAATCTCTGGTTAAGGTAAGTTCATAGGTACTTAGGACTGAAGAAATTCTCAAATTTGTCGTTGAAGCTCATGGAGAAAAATTCAATGGTGGCTAATATACAATTTTATTTAGCGCCAAACACTGGAAAATATATTACTTGATGATACATACAGAGTGGGCCTTTGAAAACGAAACAGAGGCTCTGTAGGTCGCCAAAACCGGATTATGAAAAGAATCTGAAACACGTCATCTACATTTTCGAGGGGGACACCGTCCTACAATATTTTCAGCCCTGCGGCGTTGCCGCTGCTAACGAAAAGAAGCAACAACTTTGTTATTTCAAATGGAACACCTTGTATTTTATTGCATTTTTAGATTCTCCCCGAAAATCTGATTTCATCAATGCATCACACTTGGGGTCTAGCTGTAATGGTTTCAGGGATATGAAGTGTTCAACTTTAACATTTTTTTGTGTCCAAACCAATCATTATTGGTCAAAACGACTCCCATGTCCCTATCTCAACTTGTGATTCACTATCTACTAACATTTAATTGGAACAGATACAGGGTGATCAGAATTCTGAATCTTGAACCACCCTGTATTTGTTTCAAATAAATGTCAGTAGATAGTAAGGGATATGAGAGCCGTTTTGACCAATAATGAATAGTTTCGACACAAAAAATTTTAAAGTTGAAAAATCTCGATTTTGAACACTTTATATCCCTGAAACCATTACAGCTAGACCCCAAGTGTGATGCATTGATGAATTCAGCTCTTCGGAGAGAATCTAAGAATGCAATAAAATACAAGGTGTTCCATTTGAAATAACAAAGTTGTTGCTTCTTTTCGTTAGAAGCGGCAACGCCGCAGGGCTGAAAATATTTTAGAAAGATGTCCCCCTCGAAAATGTAGTTGACCTGTTTCAGTTTTTTTTGATAATCCGGTTTTGGCGACCTACAGAGCCTCTGTTTCGTTTTCAAAGGCCCACTCTGTATAATATCCAAAATTGGCTCTGTCTTCTAGATACGGCGAATTGATAAAGAGAATATAGAAAGATATTTATATTATCATGCTGTGTAGGCTTTTGTGAAGACGAAAATTGAGTCTAATCGATGACTGAAAAATGCATCCATCAATTTAGAAGAATGTTTAGGGCTCACTTTCAATCAAATTTTGAGTCCTATCTTTTAGATTCAAAGACTGAAACTTCTTAAGTGAAACCAGAGGTTTTATATTCTTGCTTGTAATCAGTAAAATTTACTGAATGAAACACTCTGGACTGAAGGAAAACATGATTTTAATTTTCAACCCCAATATCTTCTTCATCAAAAAGGGCATCTTGATTATAGAAGCTCATTCCAGAAATGACCCATACATTCGTCTTAGCAGATGAGGTCCTTTATTTTTTTCATCATATTGGCATCATTCATTGCCCATTAAATTCTTCAATTTCTGCATTTGGAAATACAATCGCCTCTGATTTTTTTTTGTATTAAAACCTGGACATCGTCAAAACATTTTCAACGAAATTAGTAGTAAAGTTAGAGAAAAGTAATTGAAATAGATGTTGAGAATTTCGCAAAGTATTTGTGCACTTACCTTCAGACTTACACTTATACATAGTCAGTCATGTAAATACAATCTTGAATAAATCGAGACACTTCCAGTGGCTAAATGTCTGTATTATCACTAGGATTAAAATAGAGAAAACTATGTAAATTATCCGTAGGCTTGTTTGAGAAACAAACACCTGTATATTAACTGAATCAAATCCATTAAAGTTTATTTTAGAATTACATTATTGGTGTTTCTGTTTCTACATCAGCTCCCACTTTTTGCTTTTCATTCGATATTTTCACAGAAAGTTGGCGCATGAGTTTTTCATCTTCCACCTTAAAATATGTTGAATAATTCTCCCAAAACTCGTTTGTCTATAGAACCCTAAAGCTTTGAAGGCATTTCCAGAGGAATGTATTTTGGTTAAACTGCATTTATCATGCGATGGGTTTATTCTCCAAAATTTTTTTGGTTATCACGTATTTTTGTCTGAAAAACACGGATTTGATGGTGAAAATGTGAACAAACCATTATTTATTGAGATATTGCACTATAAAGTTACAAGTTCTACCTTCTTTTCCGCCTGTTTTTTGGATCGCATTTAGAACAATTTGCCCTTCTTTCTTAATCATTGGACAATTTATACAGGGTGGGCCACCAGTAACGCCTCGGTCTCTAGAAGGCTAACCACTTATCTTCTTGGAATTCTTCCTCTCTAGGAAGTTGCATGTCAACATAGGCTACCATTTGAAATTATTTTGAAACATACAGGATGTCCCCAAAAATCACAAAACACTGAAGTTGAACTTTTTTCAATCGAACACCCTATATATTATTTCATTTTGAGATTCTCCCTGGTGAGCTGATTTCAACAATCCATCATACTTGGGGTCTAGCAGTTATAATTACTGAGATATAGGGTGTGAGAAATCGAGATTTGCCAAGTTCAAGAATTTTTTGTGTCTAAACCATTCATAATTGGTCAAATGGCTCAAATGTCCCTATCTCAACTTTTGATCAACTATCTACTGACATTTAATTGAAACAAATACAGGGTGGTGCAGAATTTAGAATCTTGATCACCCGGTATATGTCCCAATTAAATATCAGTAGATAGTTAATCAAAAATTGAGATAGGGACATGTAAGACGTTTTGACCAATAATGAATAGTTTCGACAAAAAAAATTCGTAAAGTTGAAAAATGACGATTTTTCACACCCTATATCTCTGTAATCATTTCCGCTAGACCCCAAGTGTGATACATCGATGAAATCAGCTTCTCAGAGAGAATCCGAAAATGCAATAAAATACAGGGTGTTCCATTTAAAATAACAAAGTTGTTGCTACTTTTCGATTGAAGCGGCAACGCCGCAGAGCTGAAAATATTTTAGATCGATAGACCAAGAGCAACTACGTGAGTAACCAAAATTTCAGAATAATCCTATGTCCCGTTCTCCATAAACGTCTAACGTACCATCGACCGTGAGTTACCCTGTATATAATCATTGAGATAACAGTTAGGTCCAGATTGCACTATATCATGGTCAAATTTTATAAGTTCTACTGAATCCATCTGAGTTGGGTGTGGCAGGTTTTTTACAGCAAAACATGTTCTCATCAAGTTGACTATTGATGGATGATAAAGTGATCCGAGTGGAATTTGATCAACACCTTTTTATCATCGCCATGATATCGGTTATTCTCCGCAATTATAGGAGTTAGTAAAGTTAAAGTGAATACGGAATTCTGCTTGCTATTTGAAAAACCATAGTTAAGGTAATTTTTAGTAGATTGTATGACAGATTTGATCTCACTAATTTGGAAATTTTGATACCATCTATGCCGTTATTTTTCTCAGATTTCTTTCCAGACAGATTATTCAGAAATTTGCTGGTCCCACAGCTATGGATCATTCTGAACTTTGGAAAAATGAAAAAAAAAAGCATAAATCTGTCTAGCTATATATTTATTCTTATTCTTATATATTCTAATATAATATATTTCATAATAGCTATATCTATAGATAATAATTTGGAGATGTATACTCACGAACAGTCAGATGTGATATTTTATACAATCAAGAGAAACATTTAATCACAATATCTTCATGAAAAAACATGGAAGATCTGACTATAAAATCACACTGAATAACATTTGGATAAGTTTAAGTTCCACTTATATGTTGACTCTCATTAAACATCAACTAAACATAAATAGGATCATCATAATATCACCTTTATCATATACAAAGTGCTATCTGTATGAGTAATTATTACTCAATCACTAAAACACATTTTCCTATGACTTCTATAGAAATTTAGAGTGGAGATGGACAATTTACTTTCTCCATTTTTTTTCTACAAATATAAGTAGATTTACCAAACTGTTGAAATAGCTTCCAAATTCACATATTGTTTAACAATACAATACCTACTTGATGTACTTTCCATCAGGTTCATATAGCAAAGTAGCATTTGAACACATTGTATATGATATGGTACAATTATTGATACAATCCATAAAATATATGTACAGTAAAATAATTTTTTTCTCAGTCACTTACCAGGCCAGTCTGAACATCGGTATACTGAATACAGATTAGTTCTGAGGGATAAAAATAATATGGGCAATTGGTTTTCAACAATTTTATCATGAATCATCATTTTCGTACTAATTATGTTTGGAAAGTTATAAAGTTGAAATATTTTATATCAGTAATAAAAAAGTAGCTTTATAAAGAACTAGATCTCGATTGACGTTCGATTAATGCAATTTTTCCAACATTTTGTTGATTAATATTGTTTCCATAATTTCAAGAGGAAAAGTGAAACCGCCCAATCAAAATATTTACTTTTTTTAATAAGTTTTCCGCTGTTTTCCGACTGGCCCATGTAGACTTCCCAATATATGAGAAGATCCACTAAAGTTTTGGTATTTTTTTACTCATCATATTCCATAATATAATTCTATGAATGGAAAATATGTTGTTTTATAATTTTCTGGTAGATTCACACAACATTCATTGCTATATTGTATTATCTGTTGAATTATATGTGACTGGAGCACAAAATTAGACAGGGTGTTCCTCAATAATATCTCGGTCTTACAGAATCGTTCAAATGGCTTGAATATTTTTTGTGGGCATTTAGGATCTTAATTGTTCTAAAATTTTGTTCCGTACTTTGTACTGAATCTATTACTGGAAAATGCAAAAAAGCATAGTGAACCTAAAAATTCTACATAATCTGAAAACTCATTTCTCAACAACAGTAGAGCTTCTTCTTCTGATTTAAAACATGTATATACTTCATTGCGGTAATCTCTTTTTGTTTTTGATAAATATAGATTTCTTCCTATAGATCTAAGGCAGGTGTAGAATGCCAGACGACAATGTTGCGATGTCTGGCGTTCTCTACAGCTTCCTAAGAATCTATATTTTTCGAAAACTGGGAAAAGATAACCTCACGAAAGTATATAAACTGATTGAAAAAAATCAAGGATATTGTGTTTTTGCTATGAATCGAAATTCGGATTCCAACCAAACTCCGTTCAAGTATCGACTTCTAAGCAGTTGGTTCCAAACTAAGAAGCAGCAGAATACAAGTTTCAAAAATGTTGCAAAAATATGTCGTTTGCTTTCAAAAATATCCTTAGATTTTTTTCGGTTAGTTTATATTTAAAATCACAAAAAAGCTCTATTGATTAGAGAAATAAAATACAGTTCATGTAGAATATTTAGTCTTTGGTAGAAGTCGTCCATATTGCTCAAAGTGGTAAAATTTTTAGGGATAACTTCGAGCATTGCTTTCTTCCTTAAAAATATTCTCGGATTTTTTCGCTCAGTTCATATTTAAAATAAAAGAAAAAGCTCTATAGACTAGGGAAATGAACTACAGTTTATGTAGAATGTTTAGTCTTTGGGAGAAGTCCGTATTGCTCAAAGTGGAATAAAATTTTTCAAAGGAAGGAATGCTCGAAATCATCTCCACAAATTTCAATGGCGTTGTTACAAAATCATAAGGGACATATTTCAGTCTTATAAAATACCATCTTCAGCTTAATTGAAAGTTCTAGAATACAAATTATGTAATTCTTCCACATCAATCTTTTTGTATTCAGAACGATCAATTAGGCTGGAGATGGTATTTTATAAGACCGAAACGTGTCCCTTATGATTGTGTAACACCACCATTGGAATTTGTAGAATGTTTAAGTCGTAGTAAGTGGTCCAGAATTTTTCAAACGAAAAATACAAAAATCTATAAATTTATTAGGACATAAGACGTGTAACTAGTTTCAACACTCGGCCATCATCAGACACATAATATAAAGCACCCTTATAAGGAGCAATAAAAAAATATACAAAAACTACTGATCTGAGAGGAATCTCACCATGTGCAGCAATAATTAGGATAAACACATTGAAATAGGGGTTTTCTGCCGAAAAAAGCAGTCCTAATTGTACAATACTAATTTATAGCGGCTGAACAACCAGAAATAGCTATTAACAGTCTGGTTGAACATTAGAAGAAATTAGTGGGAATGAATTGAGAACATTTTTCACTAAAAAATTTAGGTTTACGATGCTTTTTTGCATTTTCTAGTGATATATATATATAGATTCCCCAATGCCCATAAAATTACTTCATAACTTGCCCATTTGAACGTATCTGTAATGTTAACCGACGTACTTTGCTATGGAGTAAAGTATAAGCAATCACCAAATTTATATCATCATATATTTTGTATATCGCTATTTTCAAAGTTGGTAACCAACTCCCTAGAAGTCGAAACTTGTGCGGGGTTAGGAAGAGCGGGACCTACAGCTTATAGTGGAACATGATAAGTAAAAAATGTACATGTAAAAAAAGAAACAACAAAGTGTCGCTTTCAGTATACTCAGACTTCGTGGAATTTGTGAATCCTCGCGTGAGGCAACAACTCTTTAAGCGAATAAAACCTGTCCGTATCTCCCCTATCCACGGAGGTGATGTGCTGGAAGCAGCAAGGCTGCGAGATGTGGCTCTTTGGGGGCAGTGGCGGAGGTTTCGGGGCTTTCTTTGCTTTCTTCTTCTTCTTTTTACCTGCGAAGTTGGTTATGGTTACAATAATCCAGTAACTTTATACATCACAGTATGCGTCAAATCCGGTAGTTCTGAATTTTTGCAGACCTGTTCATGATGTTGACCTAATGAATAATCCAAGTTTGTGACCTTGACTTTGACTTTGTCAAAAATCGAGAAAACTGCGAACAAATCGTTTTATTTTCAGTTTTTGGCGATTATAACCCTAAAGGACTAGTTTTTGAAAAAAACTCTTTCAGGTATAAGTTTAGTTGCTGAATCACTCACCAGGCGTAGACAGGGAAATGTTCTCCGGGCAGGCCACCAGCCTCTCAATGTGCTCCCACATTTGCTCCGCATGAGGCGCGTTGTCGAAGCTGAAGCCCACCTGGACGGTGTGGTCAGGCGAGTAGTGCATGGTGTGGAACGAGGGACTCTCCACTTTGTACGAGGACAGATTGTCGATGGTATCGTGCCACAACATGAAACAAGTGCCTGAAAACAAATCGGAATATCAAAAGAGAATCAACAGAATTTTTTTGAAAGCTCAAATCCCTGTAAAGCGGAGCCTAAACGTCTCCGGCCATTTTTCTCTTAATGAGTGATACTATGTCCCGCCGAAGTGACGCAAAAACTAACGAAAACACCCGAGATACTTTTTATAGTATAGTATCGCCGTAGTTCCTCAGGTAAGGCACCAGCCGTTCGATATCTATCTATATCGGCAAACGAGAAGGAGGTTTTTGTTTTTGATTTTGATTTTCCACCAACAACACGCAAACTCTACCACTGATATCGACTGATCAACTCTCTCACCCTCTTGGGTATCCTCCGCGAGATCACCTATATAAAGGGCTCAGCCCTGCGACACTTCACATAATATACGCTCACATTCCTTGGCCAATACCAGCCACATCTGTCTTGCGCGGAGGACTATATGTACCAACTGTACATCTCAAACTATGAAATGTGACTGTAAATTATGTGTTGTATTGTAAACGAACCGACAGACATAAACAACTTTAATACATTCGATATCTGAGGTGAAGCAATGCCGAATGCCGTGCTCGGATGGGTGACAATTGAAGAAAACGCCGCGTAAATACCATATCCAATGAGCACCAGATATTGTGAGGATATGCCGTCCTTCGGAGAGGACGTTGAGCCGGCGGTCCCGAGGCCCTGGATGTTGGACTCGTTCAAGATCCCTACCTCTGGTTGGAACACCGGAAGATTCGGCAAAGTTTCCGGTTGAGGGTAGTGTGCTCACCGGCGGTGGTGATAAGCTTCAGTAGTAAAAATAGGATGACGTTGAGGAAACAAGAAAAAGAAGAGGAAGAAGAGAAGAGTTCAACGGAAATCAGACAGCATATACGTTGAACGCGAGAATTGCTTGAAGTTGAGGACGATGATTCAATTAATATTACTAGGAAATAAATCATTTCTGATGGGCAAAATGGCATTCTACAATGTGGTCAGGCGAGTAGTGCATGGTGTGGAACGAGGGACTCTCTCTACTTTGTACGAGGACAGATTGTCGATGGTATCGTGCCACAACATAAAACAAGTGCCTGAAAACAAATTGGAATATCAAAAGAGGATCAAAATTATTTTTTTGAAAGCTCAAAACCTAGTAAAGCGGAACCTAACCGTCTCCAGACATTTGTTCATAGGGCTTAATTTTTTTGTCTCAGTGTCCCGCCGAAGTAAGGCAAAAACTAACGAGAGGGTCTGGATCACTTTTTTTAAATGGAATGCCCTGTATGTTAGCACATTTTTCGAAGCATCTCTGTGACCACCAACCACTCCTATATTATTGTTGACTATATCTCGATCATTTCAAAGTTATTAATTTTTTTGTCGAAATAATAATGTCATCTGCAGATGCATACCGAAAAAATCACTGTGGTCACAATTATGAAATTCAAGAGAGAATAATCATAATATAATTTGATGAAAAGATGCGTGATATTTCTGTAGAATTTTCATGCCCTCAAATTATCTAGGGTGGCTAAATATGATTTTTCAATTCAGAACTTTTGGAAGTGATTTTTCTAGAGTTTTTCAAATGGAACACCCCATATATTTTTAGGCCATTTGGTGTGGAAGGCGAGGTAGCTGGCAGGCCTACCAATACAGTATACGGAAGAGAGTACATTACTAGCCAACAAAACACAACCTAAAAACTTTGAAAGAGAGCTGATGGACGGTATACCTGAAAAGGGTATCAGCCAGCTCTCTTGCGAACCACATCACTCATTACACATTGGGGCTTGCAAAAAGGTCCCAATAGTGACTGATGTGCACTTCTATCAGTTCCAGTCTTTTATTGACAAGATATTAATCTGATGAAACTCTAGGATACCCATTATTATAATACACTCTTGTAGATGAAGAATTGGTTCAGTAAAAATTCCCTATAAATAAATAATGAGAAGAGTTTATATATCAGGATCCGCAGTAGTCACAAACCCCGTCACAAACCATGCACGAAATTGATTATTGAATATGCAAATGATAATTTAACCGTTTACAAACATTTCAATAACCCTCACCTATTTGTTTTTCGGTAGCTAAAAAATGGAGATCTGAAATTTTTTGTTGAAATAACGACCTTGCCAATTGCAAAAACTCAAACACTTTGATTTAATCTCTTTAGCATACCAATGTGGATCAAACAGCGATATGCAAGCGAGTATGCAAGTATATAATTTTCAAAATCAATCTCAAAGCTAGGTGTCTTCTGAATCATGAATATATTGATTTAATTGAAGACTACCTAAGCAATAAAGTATGGACCTATAATAAGATTCAATGTTTTATTTTCTGAAAATCCGTTTTCTGCAAATTTGCATTCTCCTCGAAAAGTGATGAACCTCATTCATATCATATTCTCTCTTTCCTAAGAGAATGTCTCATGATATTTTCTGATGATGTTATAGATATGCTTGTAAATCCGCAATTTCTCTCACAGAACTGAAAAAAAATTGTTTGAATAACGACCTTGCCAATTGGAAAAACTCAAACACTTTGATTTCATCTCTTATTCAGCATACCTATGTGGCTTAAACAACGATATGCAAGTATATATAGTTTCCAAAATGAATCTCAAAGGTGTCTTCTGAATCATGGGTATATTGAATTAATTGGAAGCTACCTGAGCAAAGTATGTACCTATATATGATAAGATTCAATGTTTAATTTTCTGGAAATCCGCTTCCTGCAAATTTGCATTCTTCTCGAAAATCGATGAACCCAATAATTTCACCAAGCCGCTGCTATAGTGTTGTTAGTACCTCATTCATTACATATTTTCTCTTTCCTAAGAGAATGTCTCATGATATTTTCTGATGATGTTAGATATGCTTGTAATTCCGCAATTTCTCTCACAAAATTTCAATAAATATCTAATAACGAAGAATGAAGAAGAAACGATCGTGCTGTGTATAGGTACCTACTCTGTAGATATCCGAGTGCCATCTCTGACCGAAAGGTCAACAACAGAACTGTCTCCACGTGAAAGTGCTGAAGTAATTGTATGGTTAGGCAATGAGGACTATGGAACGACATGCCGGTAATAGAACGTCAATAGTTTTAGTTTATAGTTTGTACATCTTCCCGCGTAATAGTTATTTATTTATCAATGGCGTAAAATAGGATTTTATGGACCGGACCTATCGCTCGGATTAACATGTCAAGGTCGATAAAATCAGATTACGCCTGGACGACATTTTTATGTACGACCGCTATATTAGAATTGAAAAGGAATATTCTCAGATATATTTATGAACACAAAAAAATGGATATATACAGAGTGGCATTGAAATAACTGCAAATATTTCAAACACTGAGAAAGCTCGTGCACGTGCACTATCGAATGGCACTAATACAAAAATAGGGATCAAAATGATATTTGAGGTTAGACCCCTTCTTCCACCCAAAGTTCTACACTGTTGCAAATCTGACGTCACCTCTGTTCAAATTTCCATGCGGTAGGGATAATCACGCGGAGTTCAATCATTTAAATTGTTTTAAAGTGGCGTACTTGATTTTTTTCTCGTATTTTGTTCAATTTTTGGGATGGAATTTCTCGTTAATTAGAAGAATTAGGAAAAATCTGATATCATGGAAATATTCCTTAGACTGTATCATATTAATGTGCTGAATATGTGCACTTATTTCAAAAACACCTTGTATATATATAAAGAAATACATTGAGAATTCGCATTCTCCTTGTGATGAAAAAATTAATTCTTTCTTGGTTCATTCAACAGAAAACAACTACTTTCCAAGCTATATGCCACGACGAATATTGAATTACATCTATTGAACACACACGATAAGAATTTGAAAACAAAATCTTCTGAAGTAGAGAATTTGCATTCTCCTTCATATATAAAGATATGCATATAATATCATTCTGAAAAGTCAACAGAAAACAACTACTTTCCTGGCTATTTGCCACGTCGAACATTGAATTATATCTGTTTAATATCCAAAAATAGAGCATGAAAGATCAAAATCCTCTGAAATTGAGAATTGACATCATCTCTCAAGTCGAATAGAAAAATATGATGTGTTATGATGTAAAAATATAACTTACCGATATGTTCAGTATTGAAATGAAAATTAAAATGTATAGGAGAACTCGGGAGAAGTATACTTTTATGAACTCTGAACTTGATGAGCTTCGAACTTTCAAAAAAAACATTCGTATCAGTGATATATGGGAATTATATCTCTCACAAACGGGTTATATGAATTCATTTCGGATATTATATCCTCATCAGTTTCTTGAAGTCCAGTTAATCTTCCAGCCATTCTTCATGATATACACAATTTTCATCTCCCTATAAATCCTATAATACAACTAAAACTATAACGGACTGACATCTGAGAATTATTATGATTTGTTGACATATACACTCCTGTCATTTGGGCTTTGGTTTTTTGGATGTATGATGAATTGACATTCATCATACAGGACGTGGAAAGAAATTCTGAATTGAGAAAAACCTAATCACGAATCTGCGATTCTGGGACACCCGGTATAGAGACGCATAAATTCATCATTGGCTAAAAAATAAACAATACTACCGAAATACTTCAGGTAGGTACAGTCGTATTCAATAAAAAAGCGTACAAGTATTGAAAAGAGAGGATTTCGGGATCCTAGTTCTAGTTGTGTAAAACTGGCTCAGACAATGCTTTGTGTCTTCGAAAACCTATGACAACTTTACTGTCAACATTTGGTGAACAATCATTCCCGATAGCCCGTTTTATACAGAATGACGTTAATTTCTCTCTGTAATATAATTTTAAATATACAGGGTGTTTCATAATTGAATGCTGATCCTAAAGGGCGATAATCCTTGGATGATTTTAAGAAAAATTCTCCATGTGAACATAGGTCCGTAACAGCTTCGATTCTGAGATACAGGATGTTGAAATTTAACAAAAAAATCAGTTATTCCCCAATATCTCTGAAACCACTCTGGCTTTTTCCTTCAATTTTGATACATGGCAAGAATGAATAGAAATACATTTTTTCCATAATAAAGGATTTCTTAATTTCCATCAGTGGCGTCCCTGTTAACATACCCTGTCATATTTTTCATCAAAATAATGATACGCCACTCTCTTTTTTTCAAATGGATATAATTTTTGTAATAATCCTCTATCTTCTCATAAAAATGGTCACTTGTCTTTTAGAGTTAGAAAATAAAATGCATTCATTTGCTTGTCCCTATTCGATTTTTACTCTTAGTCATAATTTCACAATTGTGGTAACCAAAAGATCTAAGCAATATTTTTATAATTTTATGGTGACTATTTTTTAATTTTTGTAATGAAGAAAAAAGCCAGAGCGGTTTCAGAGATATTGGGGAATAACTGATTTTTTTGTTGAATTTCAACATCCTGTATCTCAGAAACGAAGCTGTTACGGACCTATGATCACATGAAGAATTTTTCTTAAAATCATCCGAGGATTAGCACCCTTTAGGATCAGCATTCAATTATGAAACAACCTGTATATAAATGACCTAGCAAATATCACTATTAGAGGAAAGTTTACTATGTTCGCAGATGACACCACAATACTATGGCATAGCAACAATAATGACGAACTGATCGAGTAACTATGTCGCTGAAGATATATTGGAAGTAAAAAATTGGTGTGATGCGAATAAATTATCATTCAATATTTCTAAAACATGTATTTTGACGTTCAAGTGCACTCTTGATGATATACTTTTGGAAAACTCAAGAATTTGTACTCAATCATCGGCTAAGTTTTTAGGGCTCTGACAGTCTCTCATTCAACACCCACATTGCAAATTTATGCAAAAAATTATCTTCTGGTTGTTTTGCAGTAAGAGTCATCTCATCTGAATTGGATATATCTGCAGCAAGATCAGTTTATTTTGCCCTGATTGACTCAATTTTGAGATATGGAGTTTGTTTTTGGGGAAATAGTTCTCAATTTCTTTTGAACTCTGTGTTCATTTTACAAAAGAGGGCGGTTAGATACCTTAGTGAAGCTAAATTCAGAGAACCATGTCAACCCTTATTTGTGGCACAGAAAATACTGACATTGACTTGCATCTTCATTCTAGAGAGTGTATGTATGATCCACAAAAAATATACCACGAACATTCATTCGATGTCGGTATACAACACAAGAAATGTTGACTGTACGGTTTCCCTACTAATTCCTAGAAGTACATTAATAAAAAAGTCTTTCATTTATAATGCCAAAAAAATGTTTTCCGTCGACCTCGTATTAACGAGTAAGTTTAATGTTTTATAGGCAACCAAACATACACCGCGTGCATTCATTGTTTATGCTATAACTTACGGAATCTGCATTTGAATCGAAAATATGGATTTCATTGAAGATTTTCCGTTAACGGGTTCGCCTTTCGAAATTTCTGAAACGATTTTAATCCCTGTTTTCTAACACAAGGAATTTATTTTCTATGTTGATCATTTCGACAAATGTCAAATGTTACTAATGTCAGTAACAAGGCTACTGGGTGATTCTTAGTAGTTTCCGGATGAATGATGAATTCGCGAACCAAGTTTTCTTGTTGAAAAGGAATATTCTCAGATAAATTATGAACATACAAAAATGGATATATATTTATATAAAGCAATACATTGAAAATTCGCATTCTCTATGTGATGAGAATATTTACTCTTTTTCAGTTAATTCAATAGAAAACAACTTTCCTGGCTATATGCCACGACGAACATTGAATTATATCTATTGAACACACACGATAAGAGTTTGAAAATAAAATATAAAAATTTCTGAAATTGAGAATTTGCATTCTCCTTCAGACAAAAATATGTATATACACACATCATTCTGAATATTCAACAGAAAACAACTACTTTCCTGGCTATTTGCCACGTCGAACATTGAATTAAATAGCCAGGAAAGTAGTTGTTTTCTGTTGAATATTCAGAATGATATGTGTGTATATATACATATTTTTGTCTGAAGGAGAATGCAAATTCTCAATTTCAGAAATTTTTATATTTTATTTTCAAACTCTTATCGTTAATATATCTCGATCATTAATCGCCCTCATTAATACACTAGTTGGTTATATAACTATTAATCACCTGCCTTCACATATTCGTTCATTGCTAACACATATCGAGTTTAGAAAGGCAGTAAACGAGCTACTACTGAATAAAGCCTATTATACCTTGCAAGAATTTTATGAAGACGCATTTAATTAAGTTTGTCAGTTTGTATAATTCGTTTTTAATTGTTCAATATCTTTTTTTATAATGTGACTTTTACTAGTATATGTTCTACTTAAATGTTTTGTTCCATATATATGTGCATATTTTACATGATTTTATGTAGTTTTAATATTAGTTAGAGCTCATGATACACATGCTTTGTCAACAAAAACTTTTGTTTTTTAGTACAATAAAGACTTTCTTCTTCTTCTAATTCCCGGATTACAAAATGAAACAGTGAATCTTCCTAGTTCGCATGTGGTTGACAACTGGAATTTGTTGAAAATGTTGTAGATGTGTTCTTGTAGGAAATAACGTCAGATAAGGGAAGAGGAATTTTATAGAGATTTATTACTCTGTACATACCTCTTTCAGCTAGAGCGATCTGTATCCGCCTTTTGTCTCTGGCTCTAGATTCTCCCACATCCAAGATAACGACAGGAATTCCAGTATATTTCAACTGCCACTCTGGGTCGTTTGTCGTTTTTGTGTAGAGATTTGCCAGGGATCCACTAACAAACAACTGGAACAAAATAATCAATTTCATTAAGAACTCGGGATGGGAGATTGGGAGTCAACTATCCTAGACAGCACTGGATATTCCTAGAATATTTTCTGTATATGCTGAAAGAGAAGAGTATATTCCGAATATCCACCGTTGAATATTCTAGTCATATTCCAGAATAATATACACGGAATATTCCAGAAGGAATATTCAAATTTGATTGACAACATCACCAATTGTCAATGAAAATTGAAAAGCTTCAAGACAGATACGACTTTGCTATTAAAATAATCATTTCTTATGTTGAAAACGGGAGCAGATTCGGTCCCGAAACGTCCAAAGATAAGTAAAAATCTGATATTTTTTCTATATACCTTTATATTTCTCTTCTCCAAAATTTTTTCAATACAAATTTTCACTGAAAAGCTAGTGAATTTTTCTTTCAGGCTCTCTGATAGGAAGATTATTTAAGCGCAGTGACATTTTGGGGCAAATCATCTGATTTGTTCTTACTACACGTATATTGAAATAATATTCATATTTTTATTTTATAAAAACGAGGAGAGAAAATCCCAAAAAAAAATTGGAATAACGAATGTACCATCTTCTCGATTAACCTACAGACAGTATTCAATATCATTTATTTCAAAATATGGAAGTATGGGAGCTTGTGACATAAAAGTTCATAGACATGAAGTATCTAAAGAAATTCAATATTGTCAGAGTAGTGAATACTCGAGTGAAAACCTTTATGATTATCGTTATTGAAACTATTTTGTTGAATCAAATGAAGACATTTAATAACATGATTCGAAGAGTGCATTCTTGAAAGATTCCATGCACGTCATCGGCTGATTTTATTTCCAACAAAATCTGTTCCGATAATGAAAGATAATGAAAAATATTGTTTCCATTAATTCCTAGACCTGGATGTCCATCAAACTTGGTAGGTTCGTTTGCAATAACAACATATACAGCATGATGCAAATGTATGGAATTAATTCATTATTTCAGAAATGAGCGACATTTGGAGAAATTCCAAAAACACGTAAGTTTTAATTTTTGAAGCCTCATCTCATGACATTCATATAAGAGATGTTACGTCACTGGTGTAGAAGTAATGACGTGATGGACGATTTTTTCAAATACAAGCAGGGGTCATGTGACACCTCGTTTGAAAGGTCTACTGATCGTCTATCCAAAAGTCAAAATTTTGCATAAGAATATTGCAATTAAAATGGATTATTATTTGGTTAACTGAATCTTGCAGAGGTCTGCTACTGAGAATTGAAAATCGAAGGGTCGTCTAGTTGAAAAAATACACAATAAAAAAAGTTCTGAACTCTAGATTTTGGATTTTTTTCGGAAGTCGTCTTGTTTTGAAATGAATTTATTCCATACATTTGCATGATACTGTATATATTTATAAAAGAATACCTTGACACTGTTTCTTGACAAGAAAAATACTTGTTTCAAATTGTGCAATTCTCCAGAATTTTTTTCTTGCAACTTGTTTCCTAGTTGAAGATAACAATTTTCTTTCAAAGTGAGTGGAGCAAATTATTCAAGGGCCAAAAGAGTTGAATCTTCCATTGGAAAGAGACATTCAACTCAGAAAAATGGTGGTGGGACATATTCTTCGATTCTGATACTCATCCGGTGCTTTATATTATATATAAAACAAATTCTAATCATTTTAATAGAACTTATCAATCATCAGGACAATCGAAGGAATATTTTTTAGAGATGAATGATATAGAATTCATATATATTATGTATTTCCAAGTCTTTGATATCCTGAATCTCAACTACGGTTCTCTGTAAAAATATACACAAGACCTCATTTTATCTTATCACTCCAATTTTTTCACATGGGGTTCTGCAATGATCAATAATTGATATAAACTGGCGATTATCTACTGAGATATATATTATAGAGATTATAAACTGCTTTTGAAAACATGCACAAATACTTGAAGTATTTTTTTGTAGGCCGTCGGCGTTTCATTAGTGACAATTTCAATAAAACGATATCTATGTATCAATCAAATAAATAGATGAATCTCCAGATACTGTTATTTATATTTTTATGATTTGTTGATAAATTTCATTGAGGTGACACTCTTTATATCCAAGCAAATAGTTCGGAAGTTGTCGGAAGGTTCACAGATCAACATTATCAAAATATTCTGCAACGGTTATCCAGTTCCATCTGGAAGAAACCTTCATATTTGGATAGGTGAATCAGCATCAATATCACAAAGAGATTATAAATAATCAGGTTCAAAACAGAATTATCATGCCCCATTTTTTTTCGCCAATGCTATTGATACGTTACCGTGGCCTGCCAGAAGTCCTGACCTGAATTCTATTGAAAATGTATGGGGGAAAACTGGTGAACCGTCTCTACAATAATAACTACCACGTTGCAAATATAGAGGAACTGTCAGACAATATAAGGACAGTTTGGGATGAACTTCTTGAAGTTCATAAGGAATTTGGTTGAATCAATGCCGAATCGATAATTAAAAGTGCTTGCTGCTGATGGTTCCTATACAGAATAATGAAAAATGCATGATAAACAAAAACAATCCATTCAATTTTCCATATTAAATTTATATTTCTTCTATTTCATTGAATTTTCGTTTTATTTTTCGGTTGCGTTCGAATTTTATAAATGTTTAGATGAATTGAATTTGGTTAATCTTTGATACCTAAATGTATTTTTATAAATGAGTTTCTAGAAGTTCCGATCGTATTATTCAAGCAGAATCTATTGAACTTTATTTATATTTGATGAGGTATTTTCGAAGAAAATATTTTTTACATTTTTATGTTGAGAACGGAAGCAGATTCGTTCCAGAAACGTCCAAAGATAAGTAAAAATTCGATATTTTTTCAATATATCTATATTTCTTCTCTTCAAAATGAATATGAATATAAAAGACATGCTGTAGGTATCGATTACCTAATTAATAATTGTGTGAACATCTCATTGTTTGTGACGTTTTCCACAAAATATCAATAACTGAACAAATTATTCTTATCTTTCTTATCTTCCTATTATTTGAGAAGTTGAAAAAATAAATAAATACCAATAATTATGGTATAATTGTTTTTTCCTTAATTAAAATTTTGTTTGCCTCTGCTAAGTATGTTTATATCAACATCCGTGAGACTTGCTCTTGTTATTTGAAGCATAGATCTATCTATGTTTGAAGCGATGGAACATCAAACATCAAATCCTAATTTAATTATCGAAATCATGAATATTCACAGGCTCAAATCCGTTTCATCTCAGTTGATGCTATGGACCAGTCAATAACAGAGATTCTGAGATCTCTTGATTTGTTTTTGAGTCACAAATAAAGACAGTCACATTATAGAATGTTGATGATTATCAGAGATTCTGGAAGCATTTTGCGAATTTCGGAGCGTTGAAAAATGAGAGGTGGTGATTAAATTCGTGAAGGAAGGTGCTAATTGAGATCATAATTCCTCTGGTGTGCCCACTCTTCAATTGTTTCGTCAGACTAGCTCTCGATATGAACAATTGAATGCGAGTTCGGACCGTGGGATTCTCATATTCGATGATAGATGGCGTGAACGATAGACAATTTCTTGAAAAATTTCTGAATGCGTTTCGAATCTTATTATGGAGTTGAACTAGACTTTCAAGGATGTGTTTTCCTTCTTTCAGGGCCTGAAGAGTTCCGTTGATAATGCGCGAATTCAATAAAAGCTGATAAGAAGCATATAGAGACAGGACGCAAAAGAGACAGGGCGCAACAAATAATCAGTGCAATATGTTGATCTTGTCATACCTATCTATCACGTGTGTCATGTTTTCGGCATATTCAAGATTTTGTTCGAATTTCAATTAGAAGTATTATGAATTGAGAGCATTCGTAGTTTATTATATTATATTATTAGTTGAGTGAGTGCTTATTGTGCTTTCATCATGGACTGACTGCTGCAATGTGTGAGGATTATTTGAAAATCCAAACATTCGTTTCATTCTATGTACCAAAAATTGAGTAAATAAACTATTATCACAGGGTTTTCTTGAGTTGAAACTTCGTGGCGTTCATGAATTCACCATTGAAAGTCGAAAATATGACGCACCGTTTCCATTTAAACAAAAAATTGTGAAAATGGAATTGTCTACTCAATTGAATGTGTCATGATGCCTGTAAATTTGGTTTGAAACTTCGGAAATTTAGCAAGGTTCTCCCACGCCTCGTTATTTTTACAAAGTAGGCGATATCGAGAGATTTCGAAACTCCTTTCAATAGGAAGTGATAACACCATTTGACTTTCTATACATCTATGTACTAATGACAGCTACTTTATTTACCTATATATCTTTGTTGCCAAACTCCTCCGAAACGGCTTGAGCGATTGTTATGATGATTTTTGACGTTTTCGTTGTTTCAACCAAATAAATGCTTAATTCTAGTCAAGTATTTGGTATTATACTGATGATTTGTTATCTAGTAGCAAATTACAGCGATAATTTTTCACGTTTTGATTCTCGTTTAAAAAAGGGTCCATAGACTATGTTGTTGGTGGGATGTTTTGTTCGACCATAGATCGACGAACAGGTCTGTTAGAACAAAATTGACGCAAAACCAAAGTGTATACAGGGTGGCCCACGGTCGATGGTACCTTAGACGTATACGGAAAACGGTACATTGGATTATCCTGAAAATTTGGTTACTCTTATAAGCGTTTGTGATCTAACGATTCAAAATATTTTCAGCGAAGCAGCGTTGCCACTTTTACCAAAAAGTAGCATCATCTTTGTTATTTCAAATGGAACACCCTGTATTTTATTGCGTTTTTAGATTCTTCTCGAAAAGCTGATTTCATCAATTCATCACACTTGAGGTCTAGCAGGAATTATTACAGAGATATAGGGTGTTCCAAATCGAGATTTTTCAACTTTAGGATTTTTTTGTGTCGAAACTATTCATCATTGGTCAAACGGCTTACATGTCCCTATATTAACTTTTGAT